TAGTACAAAGGAAACAAACCAGGTTTGGAGACACTATAAACAAAGACAAACGTGCCCTAGGAGACAGGTCAAGGAATCAACACTTGAAGCCGGTTGTTTGCGAGATTAATGAGAGAATTTATATTTATGGCTTGGGAAACTGATATGTGGCTTTAGTAATCAGTTTTTCTTTACTACCACACCTTTTCCTGGAGACAGGAAAAGATCATTTATACATATCTACATTTTATAAATAATAATGAAGAATGGATAATGAAAGGCTTTATATATAAAACCAATATTAGAGAAAGAGAATCTAAACAGTAAAATGTATAGCCATAGTAGAGGACTATCTGTAGATAAAGCTAAGCAAAAATTCAAAGGCAGATTCTTCTTCAGTCATTTTCCAAACTCTCAAGATGAGGTTCCTGTGTGACACGCACACGGTAGAATGCCATCAGAGGATCACAAAGGACATTGTGCAAGGAGCATATGCTGCACTTTCCAACTTCATAATTTGCTTTTAATGACATGAATGGTAAAATACTAAAGAAAATGTTAATGATTTTTCAGAGACCAAAATTGTAATACGCAGCAGTTGAATGGTGCCTGTATTGCAGTTGTACCAACCTGTCCTCTTACAAAGAATGACACAATTCAATCGTATGCATTACACAAGGCCAAAAATTGTCGTACAGTACTTGAAAATGGAATCGGGTTGCAAAAGTGATGTACTGTCCCGTTTTCAGTTTTGGGTCCTCTGATAGGTTAGGAGAAAACACTTTAATTTGACCGTTTTGTTGACGTTGGGAAACCTAAGGAGAACAGGTGGGTTGTACAGCATATTGATAAACTGCAAAAAAGTGCAAAATCATCCTACAAATTGACTTCCTGAACTGAAAAAACAAGAATTACGAAGAGAGGTTGAGGCATTAACCCTTAGACCGCATAATACATGCATATATGATTTGACATAAAATAATTTAACACAAGTTTTTAAAACTTGCACAAACACCTTCCATTTTTTTTTTTTGCATAATCAACTAGGCAAATGCTTCAACTTTGTCTAAATGATCACAGCCTAACTTGAAAAACAAGAGAATCAAAATTATCTTTAAAATTGAATATTGAAAACTTCAGATTTTCAATTCAGAATAAAAAATATGAACTATCACAATTGTTCATTTAATGTTATTATTCTCTCAGAATAGCATATGGTCTTTATTTTCATCAAATTAGAACACAGGTTTTCAGTACAGTTTACTGTAAAAAAAATTGTCAATAGGGCATTTGAAATATGCAACAAATTTAGACAAAAAATAAATTATAACTACAAATGTATAAAGTTTATGAAAAATCCATTCTGAAGGGATTGTAGAACAGCTGAGCACAAAATGTCAAAATAGTGAGAATCGGTCAAAAACTGAAATTTTAGAAGCCACTCAAAGTTTAAACTCTAGTTTCAGAGATAACTGAAGTTGAAGTTATCAACAATGAATAAAGGTAGTTTTAATTCATTAATTTAATTGTATGTTTTAATAAACATTGTTTGGCATTCATACTCGAACATGTGAAAGTTGTAGGTCAATATGTGTTGAAATGAAGTCAAGAAAAAATAACCCCCCAAAAACACATAATATAGGGATAATTATAATGATTTAGGGGATATATTTAGGGTATACTTATATAAGTGGAAAAAGCCCTAATATGATCCCTAATCATCAAAACAACCTAAAGAGACAAAGAAAATAGAGTTTGAAATCAGAGAAAAAATCCGCCAAAAAAGAATTAAAAGTGCCAAGTTTTGCAAGTTGTGGCTGATTTATTTGTTGACCAATTTCATTCTATCTTCACATAGTTAGGGAAACATATGCATTCTCCACGATGTAAATGTTACAACAAAATCAAATAATAAACAAAGGAGAAAAAAAATTACCCTAAACAAATTTTTTGGGGGGACATTGATGAACGTAACATATATTAACATTGGACAATGTATATATGTATTACAAAATAGATCATATTAACATAGTTATTCATTATTATTTGTGTTATTATGTATTACTCAGCAACGATATAAAGGCATCAACTGCATGTCCACTTTGTGAACACTTCTTACTACTATTCTTCTTCTTGGAGCGTTGGACAGGTGCGTGCATTTCTTTATTACTGCATTATCCTTCAGTTTCAGTTATCAGGAGCTGTTCTCCTTATCAACAAAACTTTCTTATTTTTAAAAAATTCGTCTAAAATCAATTTCTGAAAATATTTTGATGAAAGTTTCACGACACTGAAGCCAATAAGTTAGAGATTTGTTTAACATTTAACATTTTTAAGTTATTTTCACATAATTCAAATATTTTTTGCTACCAAGCAAACAATATGCGATGTCTAAGGGTTAAATATGCCAAAGCTAAAAAGAGAAGATAATGAGGTAATATGACCACCACTTACAAAATAACATGAATTTACCAAATTAACAAAAAGGAATTCCTGAAACCAGCAACCTCAAGAACAAGAGGCCATAGATTCAGGCTAAGGAAACAAAGGAGCCAAAAAATTTTTTGAAAGTTCTTTTGGAAACAGAATAGTAGACAGTTGGAACAAGTGAAAAAGTTGTGGAGGCCAAAACAGTCGGTAGTTTCAAAGTGTTATATGACAGAGTACTGGGAAGACGGGACGCCAAAAGTGTAGCTCTCATCCTGTAACTACACTTAGGTAGTTACACACACACACACACAGCTGAGTGGACAGGGCCTCATAGCCAAGTGGACAGAGCTTGGAAGTCATAATCCTAATGGCTCCAGTTAAATTCCGTGCCGAAGCAGAAATCACTTTCTTTCACCTGATGCTGCTGTTCACCTAGCAGTAAATCTAGGCAAGTTGTCCTTGGCAGTAGGACAACTGCTATGGGCTGCTCCCTGGGGATATGTTTGTGAGCATATTAGAAAGTGTTAAGAGAAATACATGCAGTAGTCATAACAGAGGAAAGAGAGATTGTTAGAAAGGCAAGGTCCAAGAGCTAATAGATCGATTCTGCAGGCACAAATAGTAAATACAAGTAGTAAATATAGTATTTATTTTTTTAATTATTATTATTATTTTCTACCAGTCATGGCCACACAGTAAATTTTGGTGGTGAGAGGCCAAAACTGTCAGTAGTTTCAAAGCTTTATATGACAAAGAGTGCTGGGAAGATGGGACACCATGAACGTAGCTTTTATCCTGTAACTACACTTAGGCAATTACACACTTCTGGGCCAAGAAGGCAGTTGATCCAGATGAAGTTTCACCATGGGTTCCAAGAGAATGTGCACCTGAGCTCAGTATTCCACTTCAATTGATTTTCCAGGCATACCTGTGTACAGGAATCCTAGTAGATGGGTGGAAAAAGACTAACATAGTTCCAATCTACTAAAGTGATATCAGGAAAGACCCCCTCAATTAAATTCATGTATCACTGACAAATTTAATTGTCAAAATATTGGAAAAATAATTAAAGCTAAATGGGGTAGAACACCTGTAGAAATATTATATAATAACACAGACAATATGGTTTTTGATCTGAAAGATCCTGTGTAACGAATTTACTCTGTTTCCATGACAGAGCCACAAGAGATTTTACTAGAAAGAGACGGTTGGGATGACTGGATCTAGACCTAAAAAAGGTCTTCAACAGAGTTCCATATAAGAGGTTGTTCTGGAAACTATAACATACTGGAGGAGTCACGGAGGCTTCTAATATGGATGAAAAAATTTCTGACAGAAAAATGAGGGCAGTAATCAGAGGCATTGTATCTAGATTGGAGAAATGTCATGAGCGGATTACCACAGGCTTCACTTCATGCACTAATGATGTTCATTGTCTACATAAACAACCTACCAGATGGAATACAGAATTACCTGTATATGAACATGTTTGCTGATGATTTTAAGATACTAGGGAAAATAAGTAACTTAGATGACTGTCATGCCCTTCAAGAAGACCAGGACAAAATAAGTGGACGGAGCACCACTTGGCAAATGGAACTTAATGTGAATAAATGCCATGTTATGGAATGTGGAATACGAGAAAATAGATTACACACTACCTACAAATTATGTGAAAAATCTTTAACAAATTCGGACAAAGAAATAGAAAATTATCACCTGAGGACCACAAAGAATTTTGTATGAGGAGATTATGCTACACTTTAAAAGCCATTCTGAAATTGGAAATACGTGGATGATGAAATACTAAAGAAACTGTGTAAGACCTCCGTTAGACTGAAGCTGGAATATGCAGCACTTGTATGGTCCCCATATCTTAAGAAGAGCAACGACAAACTATAAAAGGTGCATAGGCATGCAACTAAATGCTCCAGGAACTGAAGGACGAGAGCTACAAGGAGAGGTTAGAGATTTAAATATGCCAACAATAGAAGCTAGAAGAAAAAAAGAGCAATATAATCACTACGTACAAAATAGTAACGGAAATCGATAAAATTGATAGGAAAGAATTCCCGAGACCTGGAACTTCAAGAACAAAAGGTCATAGATTTGAATTAACTAAAGCTGCCAAAGATATATAAGAAAATTCACTTTTACATAGTAGTAGATGATTGGAACAAGTTAGGTGAAAAGATGGTGGAGGCCAAAACCGCCAGTAATTTCAAAGCATTGTACAACAGAGTACTGGGCAGATGGAACACCACGAGTGTAGTTCTCATCCTGTAACTACACTTAGGTAATTGCACACACACACACATTCGTACACATAGAATATATACTGAAATTCAAAGTATAGATAGGCAAGGCACTGCTGACATAGATTAGTTAGATTAGTTAGTGAACAAAGTTGTCTGAGCTAACAGGCTACGGTATCAACATAATGGCCATATTATCTTCATGGACAATTGCTATTCTAGTATCCTCCTGAATAACAGACTTAGGCAGGTCAATATAGGTGCATGTGGCATTACAAGGGTTTCCAGAACTGGTATGTTATGCATACTAAGAACAAAGTCGACTGTGTGCATTACCTGAGTCCCAAGCAGGTGAGGTTTTTTAAGTTTCCAATGGATTGTGGTAAGTCCAAGAGCTCATTGTGCTGAAGATGAAGTGTCTGCAGACATATACAATTACCAATCTCCTCAGACAGGTGTACAAGATGGTTGTGGGCCACATCCAAAGTTACCAATCCTGTAAGATCTCCAATGCCTGCAGGCAGTTTACGAATCTTGTTTTCACGTAATGATAATGTTATCAAATTCTGAAAGGACAAAAAGAAAAGTAATTGGTAAAATAACAAAACAATATATAATTAGCACCATACTTCATAAAAAATAAGTAGTGAAAAACTTGTTTTCACTTAATACTACACTTATGATACACTGTGTATGATATATTTAACCTATATCATGCTTTTTATATTCGTGTTGGGTGAGATGACACAAAAGTTTTGGGTGAGGTGGGTACATAAGAATGAAAGTAACTGCAGAGGGCCTATTGGCCCATACGAGGTCTTGAAGTGGGTAGAATGTAGTTATGCGTTAATTGGCTGTTGATTGCTAGTGTTGACTTTTTTAAGTGTAGTGCCTTGCTGATGTTGAGCCTCCTGCTATCGCTGTATCTATCGATGATTTCAATACACACCTCGCCCAAAACTTTTGTGTCATCTCACAAAAGTGTAGTGTTAGGTGAAAACAAGTCTTTAAGAATGCAAGAAGCCCTTACGAAACTTCTAGGCGTCAGACCAAATATAAATAAGAATTTTGGAGAGTTGATATTTCAATTACCCTCAACTTCAAATTGTTTTTTCTTCAACAGTGAAGAAAAACATAAGAAATATTGAGAAAATTCGTGTTAGAATTATTAATCTTATCTTTTCGCTTTTCTATCATATTTAACTATCTATCTATATACTGTATGTATGTATGTATGTATGTATGTATGTATGTATGTATGTATGTATGTATGTATGTATGTATGTATGTATGTATGTGTGTATACACACACACACACACCTGTTTAAATAAATAAATAAATAAATAAATAAATAAATAAATAAATTTAGTGTAAACTTTAAGGTAGCCTTCAAGGAATACCTAACAGCCATGAAAACACCATAAGGTATCTCTACCAGAAACAAACAATTTAACTGAGAAGAAAATGCTATCTAGCAGCAGATAACCAGACACTTTTTAATCTGTCAGAGACATCACTATACACACAAAATTGGTAGCAGTCATTTTAAGATGCTTACTCATTAAATCCAAAATACATTCAGGACGTACTTTGAGGTTCCTGATGTCTTCACCAACAACCTTGATCCTGTTGAACCTGAGAAATAATGTTGTGAGAGAAGTTAATTTATACACCACATCGGGAATCTCATTCAGCTTGTTGTGACGTAAGTCGAGCACTCGTAATTTCTCCAACTTAGCTAAGGTATCTGGCAATGATGTTAGAGAGTTCTCTGACAAGCCGAGTGTTTGAAGATTAACCAGATGTCCAATCTCAGGAGGCAATGTAACCAGCTTGTTACTGCAAGAAGAAAAGTTTCCGTGTCATACAAAATGTGCTACATAAAAATTTAATACTGTAAACAAACTGGTTGTAATCCCAGTATCATACATAAAATAATTAAAATAAAAACTGCCATTTTGATTACTACATTATGAAACACAAAACACCTATGTTGGTGTATATCACTCTACGGGCATTATGAATAATTCATAAAAAGAACAATTCTCAATATGGTAAAACAATATGGTAAAACAAAACAATTGTTTTTATTACAATAAAAAGATTACAGTTTATGAATAATTATGTAAAACCATCAGTCACACTGCAGTGTATACATGAACATACATCATCATCATGGTACTAATTAACTAAAACCTCTACAAGTTACAAAACCAAATACAGTACAACCCGTTCTCGCACTTGCTTATAGTCAACATTGGCTTATTTAACCCTTTAACTGCGCAACGCGCCTGCAGGCACAAGCTTCGGATGCGCAACGCGCCTCTGGGTATTTTTATTTTTCACGTTCCATTCAAAACTCCCGCGGCTACATGGGGTTCACATCAGCTTCCTCAGGGCTCTTGTAAACAGACGCCATCTTAAAAAAAAATCATGGTCCACATTGCCGGGTGTCAGAGCCTCAGTAGTGAGTGAGCAACCAAGGCTGGCGCTCGCAGCATGAGCACACAGCACTGCTGTTCAGCGTGTGACCACAGCATCACCTAATATTGTCAAAATATATATATAATCTGTTTTATTTAGCCATGATAGTATTATAGAAGAGCCAGAGAGTGATAATGACTGGGTACAATGTTCAAATATCAGTGATTCAATGCTGTTCACGATGTTCACAGCGCTAGCCACAGCACCACAGCATTATTTCGTCCATCTAGGAATCTTCAAACGACTTTTTAGGTTCCCTTTCAAAATAAACTTGTGGTCAATTATTAATTTACAGGTATTAGTGACCAGGATTGTGGTTATAATGAGCGTTGTGCCTAGGAAGAAGGAATTTTGGTGAGGGAGGGAGGAAGGGAGAGAATTGAGGTAGCCTCACTGTGTGGCAGTAACTCTTGTTTTGCTCACCATACTAGCTTCGTGGTTCGCTATGGGGAACACACATGTACATGGGTATATACAGTGTGTGTGAATAGTGTAATAACAGCACCAGGAGTATGTTGTGAGGAGCTATTTTGGTGAGGGAGGTGACGTCATAATCGTGGCGTCATCTGCTGTCTGCTGTGTGATTTGTCATGCAGTGTATGGTGGCCACTGTACTGTTTGGACAGAATACCGGCTTACTTGCATAGTTCTGGTAAATAAAACATGTAGATAGGTATATATACATGTATATATACATGTGTAAATCGTGTAATAAATGCAATAACAGTATGGTGGGAGGAGCATTGTTGGCGAGTAAGATGTTGGAGTGAGGGAGGACTGGCTGGGTGTGGCTGCTCACACTCGCGATGTTCTGAGTGTGTTGATGGTGAATGTATATAGTGTGTGACAGTGTAGAGTGTGTACATATGTTGTAAATATACATAAATGAACATGAAACATTGGTGTGAATAACTGTATAACTTGGAGGAGCAATGTTGGAGGAGTGAGGGAGGGCTGGCTGAGTGTGGCTGCTCGGACTCGCAGCGTTCTGAATGTGTTGATGGTGAATGTATATAGTGTGACAGTGTATAGTCTGTAAATAGATTGTATATCTACATAAATTAACATGATACATGGTAAATATGTGCAACATATGTGTACACAAGTGTCATGCACGTAACAGTGTCCTCAGACAGTACGGATGTTTTACTGCCATAAAATAGTGTACGTGTTCACTATACATAGGATTAGCACGTAAAAACAAATAAAATGTATTTGGAACTGTGCGCAAAAAATTAACAAAAATATATTCGCGGCAACTCGCGCACCCCACCGGCCCCGGGAGCTTACTGCACGGGCGCACGGGGAATGATGACATCACGCGCCAACTTACGGACCCCATAGCAGCCAAAGTAAGTACAAGTTCAAAATTTTTTTGACATATCCATACTGGGGGAAGAGTTTTTTGACACTTTAAAAAAACAAAATAATTTTTTCAAGAGAATTTATTTCCTGCGCACTGGGGAGGGGGTGTCATATTTAGAGGCCGCGCAGTTAAAAGGTTAATAAGTGCATATGTGACATACTAATTGATTGTGAATATTTTAGTTTACCTTGAAAAGCTTCATAGAAAACATCGACCTCACCTAACTTTCTTAGTATGTTAAGATAAGCATCTTATTGCTTCTTATTTACAATTATTACTTAACCTATCAACGGTATAAGTTAAATAATAATCGTAATTAAGAAGCAATAAGATGCTTACCTTAACATACTAAGAAGGTTAGGTGAGGTCGGTGTTTTCTATGAAGCTTTTCAAGGTAAACTAAAATATTCACAATCAGTATGTCACATATGCACTTATTAAATAAGCCAATATTGATTATAAGCAAGTGCGAGAACGGGTTGTACAGTATCACTAAATACTAATAATATAGAGCATTAACACTTTGATGCTCTTGGCGCACATGCGTCACACTACCCCGGGTGGGTTTGGGCATTCCGCGGGAGCGCGCGGTAATTCTGTAAAGTGTATAATCTTTTCAACTTTGTTACCTCAATTCTCGTCCTAGGTTTTTCAATTTGGTATCATTGTGTTCGCAATAGAATTCTCTACAGGACTAAAGGCATATTAAGTCCAAATACCCAGTGTGCTATCCGCAACAAACAGAGAAAGTGAGAGCATGTTACCCGGGAGCGCGCAGTACCGATAAAATGTGTACACTCCTTTCACTTTGATCACCTCAATTCTCATCCTAGGTCTTTCATTTGGTATCAATATGTTTGGAATAGAATTCCCAACAGGAATATATGCATATATTGTCAAAAGCAGTGGCGTGCTCCATCTGCCGACAAGATGAAAGTTACCAGAAAGAGAGCACTGCACCACCTCAAGGTGCCTCTCATTACAATAGAGAGCGTGGTCATACCGAAATGTGTATACTCTCTTAAACTTTGTCATCTCAATTCTCGTCCTAGGTTTTTCAATTTGGTATCAATGAGTTCGCAGTAGAATTCTCTACAGGACTAAATGCATTTAAAACCCAAAAGCCCGGTGAGAAAGTGAGAGCGTGTTACCCGGGAGTGTGCAAGAGCAATAAAATGTGTACACTCTCTTCACTTTAGACATCTCAATTCTCGTCCTAGATCTTTCATTTTGGTATCATTGTGTTCGCAATAGAATTCCCTACAGGAGTATATGCAAATATAAAGTCCAAAAGCCCGGCGTCCCACCCACAGTAAACAGAGAAAGTGACAGAGCATAATCCCAGTGAGCGCTAATAAAATGGGTATACTGTTTTCAACTTTGTTACCTCAATTCTGGTCCTAGGTCTTTCATTTTGGTATCAATTTATTCACAATGAAATTCCCTACAGATGTATATGTATATAATGTCCAAAACTACGGTGCGCCCCCTCCCAAAGCCGCAGCCAATTTGCCACCGGAAACAACGCAATGCTGCGTCACTACCGGACCACCCCCGAGTAAAAAAAGACGCAATGCTGCGTCGTTACCAGACCACCCCCGAGTAAAAAAACGACGCAATGCTGCGTCGTTACCGAGCAGAAGTGTTAAGTACAATCAATTATACTACACTACAAAACTTTTATTAGGGCGTGTCTGGGATCATCCTGGACGGAAGTTCAAACCCTCATCACAGCCCTTGTGGATTTATTCTTAATAATGAATTACCTATTCGTGAGCATTACCTTGGTAGCTTTCCTATCATGAAGCACTGAATATCCATAGGATGCAGGTTATGGTAGGCAATGGATGACCTTTCCACCCACAGGAAATAAGTACCCTCTCAAAAGCATGTTTTATTCCTTATAAATTAGTGGAGAACTCCTCACAACAATGAAATGAAACTGACCGCTGTAACACACACAAACACTTCAAAATGCTCAAACTCCCTCTAAATGATCTCTGGCAACGCTGAATTACCAAACACTACACTGAGCTGGCAAGCACACACTATTCACCTAGCCTTACCAACTGTACTCCCCAGCAACATGCACTCCCCTCTGAACCCTGATGGGATAAAAGCATCTCAACCGAAAGTTCGACTAGACTTGCCAGCATTTTGGAAGGCATCACCCTGGAAACACAAACCGAAACTGTCCCTATTTTCCGCTTGTTACAACATGTAATAGAGTTGTTACATCTTGGCTTCACGTGTTTATGACGTATTAGAACGTTGTTACAACTTGTTATATTGGTTGTTATAACTGGTTAGGAGGTGTTAAAACTTGTTCGAACGTTGTACTAACGTCGTAGTTTCGGTGTGTGTTTGGCGGGTCAACTGGTACTAACAATTCAGATATGCAAGTTCAATCCCACCCACTACCATAGTGTTTTCTCACCTCTGTCATGCGTAAATTATGTGCTTGCAACCCTTCTTCTGTTTCTAGACTACCAAGATGGTTGTTTAAGTTAATAAATCAATTGAAAAACTTTGAAAGTTAAACAAAACTCATTTTGATTACACAGTATGTTTTAACTTTAACTTGTGAAAGGATTAAAGCATTTAGAGAACTCTTCTATACAAGGTTTAGTTACTAAATTCAACATTCTTTCACATGATATAATTTTGTATTCCTCAATGAGATACCCAAAATTTACACAATTCATTTAACAAAAAAACACACATGCTTTATCATGCATTGAATTTCAATGTTAGACTACGTAAAAAGAAAAATTATATTCATTGTTTCCATTTATTGATTTATATATGAGAAGGTACCATTGGGTTGTGAAAGTACACACACTGGGGTTAAATGTTATATTCTTGAAACACCGCCAACATGCACAGCATTAGGTCTACGTTACATCTTACCTGTATAAATAAAATTCCACCAAGTGTGTGAGGTTTTGCACAGATGCCGGCAAGTGACTGATACTAGAGTTGCTAAGGTCCAATCGCTGAGCTCCATCATCCTTGCATCTACAAAGCACATTATATATTTACACAAATGACGATGTAAGAATCATATAAGATACCTATTATAGACAAGTTAACTTCTATGAAACTAAACAAGTACAAATACAAGGCATAAACTTTCATGCACAAGTCTTGGGAAAAACTATAAAATATTTTCAGCCTGGTGATAGTGTGTTCATACAAGACCAAGCCGCACATAGGAGTCTGTCACCTCACAAACACTGCCACTTTCCACCTCACTTTTTTCTTATTTTAAATATTCTGTACCCTATCACTATTTCAACCCTGATCATTATTTTCTTTGTTCATCCAAAGTAGTATATATTTTTGTAGTACCAATGAGTGAACGTGTCATGTTTGTATATTAAGGTAGGCAAATTGTCAAGTCAGTTCTAGAAGGCAAGTCATCGCTAGAACCATCTATTGTACGTAAGTTGCCAGAACTCGGTTGAAAATAGTAAATAACTTACATAATGTGATAAGCAGTATAACAATGCACAAGGCAATGCAAGGTTAAGCAATAGCTGTTCAAAAGTGTAAAGATACACCAATACCAAAAAACCAGCGTTGAATGTAATGAAACACCATTTTCTGGGCGAGTCCCGGAGGCTATCCAGGCTGAATGGATATGTATAACTTTCTGGCATCAGTCAATGTGAAAGAGTTCTTGCCTACCGGGGACCACGAGCCAGAACCTGGCCCCCTCAGAGAGGCACGAGGAGCAATGGCCTATAGAAACCCCCCATGTGGGTGGACACATTCTATATCTGCCATCGACCGGGTCTGGCACCCAGAAAGGTAGGCACCGCAAAACAAACCCTTATTCTTGTGAAACGATTGCTACCAGAAGCCGAACGAGTGGACAGAACTCCCCAAACGAAAATTAGCAAACGAGCATGACGTCATCATGTCGCCGTGCCGCTGTCTGCGTAACCCCCCTCAGGAGGGGGAAGGGGGAGCCCCCAGACCCCCACACTGGCACTCCACCCTGCAGTTCTTGTCAAAATACGCAAAAACACCACCGACCGGAGGGAGGGAGGGATGCCGGGGAGCCTTCAGAACTTGCCCAGAAAATGGCATTTCATTACATTGATCTCTGGTTTTCTGGGGGGAGCCCCGTCGGCTCCCCGGAGCTAGCTACCCAAAGACAAGGAAAAACAGGGACTTTCCTGAGCGGCGGTCAGTTCTCACTCCTCAAAGCGAAGCCGAGACAACTGACTGCAACCGCCAACCCAATGCAACGCAGACTTTACGAGGTCCAGGGACATTGACAAGGTTCCTGGACCCTGTTCGACCTCCAAAAACCCTGTGCCCGAATGTCAACCCAAAACATGTTGCCAAAGACAGCAGCCAAAGCAGCAAACTTACACACGTCGTGGGCATGAGGATAGACTGCAGGCTGGCTAGCCTTAATAATCCTACTGACGACCTGGGAGACCCAAGCCCGGGAACAGGGAAGAAGGGAAACCGGAACAACCCACATCGCATTCCAGCCACCGAAGTCATGGTGCGCAAATAATGGCGGAGAGCCGCAACCGGGCACAAGACATGATGCACCCCCAGGCCTGACCAACCAAGCATCAACAACCCAAGGACCCCTCTGGAAATCAGCAGTCTCATTCTTCACAAGACAAGAAGGAGATGGCTGCAACCGAACAAACCTATCACCAGGAAACCCCTGCACTGGAGGAGAGCATGAAGTTCCCCGACCCGATCCACAGAGGCCAATGCCAACAGGAAAAAAGAGCCTTGGAAAAACAATCCTGAACCAAAGGGGCCACCAAAACCAAGGAGAAGAGAGAAAGAGAGCACCCAGTCCAAGGACCAGGAGTGCTCAGACAACGCATGAGCAGGCCGGAGATGAGACAATGCATGACACAACTTGTGGAACAGAGCAGATGTAACATCAATACCGAACGCAAGTTGGAGCGGCTTCACCAGCGTCACACAATAGGAGGCGACAGCGTTTGGCATAAGATGACGGCCCAGAAACAACCACAACAGGAAGAACACAATAACCCTATCAGAGACCGAAGTACACGTACGCAGTGATAGGAAAAACCGGAAGGAGCACCAAAAAACCTAGTACTGCCGCCGAGACGAGGCACGCAAATGGGAGACGAACAACGAAGCCGCCTGGGAAATCCGAGCCCAGGAACAGGGAAGAAGGGAAACCGGATCAACCTACAGCACATCCCCAGCCACCAAAGCTGTGGCGCGCAAACAACAGCAAAGAGCCGCAACTAGACACAAAACATGATGCACCCCCAGCCTAACCAACCAAGCAACAACAACTCAAGGACCCCTCTAGAAAACAACAGTTTCATTCTTCGCCTGAAAAGAAGGAGACGGCTGCAAACAAACAAAACGACCACCATGACCAAGAGAGCAGAAAGCCCTGCATCGGAGGAGAGCATGAAGCTTCCCAACCTGACCCCCTGAGGCCAATGCCAACAAGAAAAGAGCCTAAAATAAGAGTCCTGAACCAAAGGTGCCACCACAAACTGAGGGGGAAAAAAAGAGCACCTGGTCCAACGACCAGGATGGCACAGGCAGCTCATGAGCAGGCCGGAGGTGTAATAATGCACGAGACAACTTGCAGAACAGAGCAGTGACATCCTCCCCGAACGCAAGCTGAAGCGGTTTCACCAGCGCTGCGCGATACGAGGCCACAGTATTCGGCAGATGATGATGGTCCTGAAACAACCGAGAGAGAAAGGATAAAACAACCTGATCAGAAATAGAAGACAACCTACAAAGAGTCAAGAAGTGCTGAAAGGACTGCCAGGAAATGTCATACTGCTGCTGAGACAAAATGCGCAGGTGGGACACCATCAATGAAGCCATTTGATAACCACTCAAGTGGTGATAAACCAGCGTCAAAAAGACCAAAGATCGAACCAGCCATGTACTGTATTGAACTGGACTGATTTGCTGAAAGAGGCAGATCCGAGGAAAAACCCTCAGGATCGGACACTGAGCAAGCAGCACCTGAACCCAAGGCTGGGCACCTAGGGAAAAGTGACCCCTAGATGCATGCAGCCCAATACTTTTTGAATTACTCCTGGCTCGCACACCACCACACAGCAGAGGAACACCGTAAGGCACAACACTGCTCAAAGGTTGGAGCCAGAATCGATTGACAGCCTCAGAACTAGGGTTGGGTAGTCTGTATGGGAGGTCCGGGCTCCCCCTTCCCGGGAAGGGGGGGGAGCTGTGCAGACAGCGGCGCAGCAGCTGTGGTGACATAATGCTTGTTTGCTTGTTTTCTGATTGGGGAGTTCTGCCTGCTCGTTCACAGCTTTTGGTTTGCAATTTTTAACCAGCTGTAGTTTGTTTTGGGATTCCTACCTTTCTTGCTGCCTGACCTGGTAGATGGCAGACAGACTGCTTCCAACAGTCGTTGGAAGTTAGGAACAAAAGTTATCACAAGTCGATAAGTTACGGGCTCACCATAGCCCGTGCTACTAGGAACTTGTTCCAAGTAGCTGAATCTATAATGTTAAACACTTGATGGGAATGTGTGTTGTCCAGCTCTGAGCCCAGCCTGGCATCAGGCCAGCCTCAGGGAGTAGAAGAATTCCTGAAACACTCACCAGGTATGCACCAGGTATACATAGGAGTGTCTATAGGCCATTGCTCCTCGTGCCTCTCTGAGGGAGGCCAGGTTCTGGCTCGTGGTCCCCGGTAGGCCAAGAACTCCATCGACTGACGGTTGCCACGGTTTAATATATACACATCAGCCCGGTATAGCTCCGAGGAGCCAAAGGGGCTCCCCACAGGAAAATGCAGATTCTATGTATAAATATCAGCAGCAGCAGCTTATACATTATTACTTGAAAATTATTAGCATCTTCTACTGAAATCTCTTATAGTAACTTACAGTATTACATATTATACAATACTAGATAACTGTATACCAAACTTATGTATAATGAACAGACCTACTGAACTCCTTGGACACATCTAAATCAGCTTGAATAGGCTTGTTCTTCTTTATTGTAATTCTGGGTTTTGAGTCGTGCTCTACGACCCTCACAACTTTCGCTTGAGTGCTGTCGCCAGGACCCAACAACCCTGTGGAGGACTTCTGTTTTTCCTAAATGAGAAAGAGAAGCATGATTTAAGTATTATGCATGATCAACAAACTTCATAGAACCAGTGATATTTTTCCATCTGTATGCAAAAGATTTTTACTGTCAGCAGACAGTCCCAAATTTATTAACTTGAAGGGGCAGCAAGAAGGAAAATCATCCTCCCTGCCCTGTTCCCCACTTTCATTTTGTGGGAGACCAAGTAGCCCAGATAAAAAAATAAAATGTTTAATGTAATGAACCACATCTTTCTGGTGGGTTCTTGGTGGCTCCTTGGTGCTAGCTACTTGGAAAGCTATACCCAATTCAATTAATGCTAGGCTCTTGCCGAGTCATATAAACCTACAGGGGCCTAATGACCAAACACCCCCTTCCCCTTCCCTCTAAACATGTGCAAGGTGCAGGGGATTCTATATCACCCTAATGGAGGAAAGGCCACCAGAGAAGTGGGCAAACCAATGCATACAAACATCAAGGTAAACAAAGCATAGAAAAAGGGACCACAAAGCCCCAAGATCCATGAACCACTTGGTGGTAAAGCAATTCTGTCATTAGTTCCACCTACACACCTTCCTTCATGATCCACCAACCTTGACACCTCAGTCATATAGTAAGGAAGATGGAAAAACCAAAGGCCCTGAACGGGGAAAGAATGGTGCCAAAGAGCAACCGAGGACCCACCAGAAATTTTATTAGTCAGAGCTCGTTTTCTATGTGGGGTCCTACTGATGGCTCCTTGATGCTACATCACCATGAAGAAAAAACAAAAAGGGTACTCACCAGGTGCAGAGGAGAGCCACAGGCAGTAACACCCAGGAAAGGGGAAGTTAGCGAAGAGTTAACCACTCCCATGCCACACAAACCTGACATGGACCAAGAATGTTCACTAAGTAACAAGCTGCCAGTACACCGTTGGACTGCACAACACCCCCAAGCCCGAATATCTGACCAAGAAATTAAAAAAACAAAGCACGGATAGAGCTACAAATTTACGAACATCATATGCCCAAGGATAGAGCGCAGGCTGGCTCAACACTGCGGACAACTGAGATAAACAGGTCCTGGAACAATGAACCAAGGACACTGGATCCACAAACAGTATTCCCTTGTAATTACCAAAGTGTAATTATCTAAGTTTAGTTACAGGATGAGAGCTACGCTCGTGGTGTCCCGTCTTCCCAGCACTCTTTGTCGTATGTGCTGGGAAGATGGGACACCACAAGCTTATCTCTCATCCTGTAACTACATTTAGGTAATTACACTTAGGTAATTACAAGGGGGATACTGTTTGTGGATCCAGTGTCCTTGGTTCATTGTTCCAGGACCTGTTATCAGATCCTGTTATTGTGCACCACTAGCGGTGCACAGGAGAAATACCAAAACCTTGTCCAAAAACCAATGGCTCAGGAGGAGAATGAATAGGCCGGAGGTGAAAAAAGGCTAGAGACAACTTGTGAAATAGGGTGGTCCATTTGTTGATATCAACTGCCAATAACAGTGGTTGTGCCAAAGCTGAATGATACAAGGTGCCAGTATTCAGCATGAGAAACCTATCCACATAAGGCCAAAATATAAACTAGAGGATTACAGGTTAAGATACCAAGTACAAGCGACGAAGAGAAATACAAAAATGTATGGAGCATTAAGAAACCTCATACTGTTACCATGACAAAATCTGCGGATGAGACACCAAAAGATTAGGCACTTACAAACTACACAATGAGCAATACACAAACCACTCTTAAAATGTGTGAATTAGCAGACCACTTCCAACAATCAAGAAACGCCTCCTGGCATGTCTGTTGGAAGAGGCAGAGCGGTGGAAATCAATGTGGGCTCAAACAACACCACCAAAGAGCCAGAAACCATGGTTGGGCAGTCTGGGGGGGTGGGGGTAGAAATAGCCTAAGCTACTCTATCCCTTTGAGATGTATTTCTTTCTTGTCTCAATAAACATACTTGAACTTGGTTGGGCAGTCTAAAAGGAAGCCACCAGGAGAACCCTGCTGGAGAACACCTGCAGTTTGGACAGAACTTGAAGCAACAGATGAACCAGAGGGAAGAGACAAAGGAACTCCCACTGACCACAATCCAGCCAAGAGGCATTTACTGCAAGAGCCTTACAATCGAGGAATAGCCCTAACCAGAATCCACCAATTCCATGCTGACTTCAAAGAGGTTCATCTTCGTGTAGCCAAACTCTTCATAAAGCCAACAAAAGGATGCATCGTCAACGATCCCTGCTGTGGCAATGGGGCGAAAACAAGGGGGACTTTCCGGCAGAAAGTTGGGCACACCCCATACATGGACCGCACAGAGAGCAAAACTCAGAGAATCCAGAAGATGAGCCCACAAAGGTGGCCTAGTTGGAGGATTTGGATAAACCAATGGGGAACAGATGGAGTGGAAGTGGACCACAGGGCCCACCAAGAGATGAAGCAACTACAGTGTGCGCCAGATTGCAACAAACTCCCACACTGCTAAGCACCAGACTCAAAGGAACCACCCAATGACCTGAGTGGCCAGATGAGTGCTGGTCGCATCCTCCCTAATCTAACACCGAGGCCATGAGGTCAGGCACAGGAAGGCGCAATGGGACAGAACCCCGAAAAACCTAAAGAGGACACCAGCGAACCAGAAGCCATCGGAGGTTCCATGGAGTCTACACCAAATGTGTGGACTCCAAAATGACAAAATTGACAAAAGCAGAGAAAATGAAACAGTGCCCTAAACCAAATCCTGCCCAAAGAATATGCCACATAGATAAATTTCAGACTCCAGCTTAACAAATGATGGGTGATTCTGGGACATTATGCTACCTGCCAGAAACAAGCATCCAAGCAGAACAGAAAGGCAGGCAAAAGGGAGAGGGAAGCTGATCGAGAATCCCCAAGCAGATCAAACCAAGCTTAATCCTGTGATGGAACCAAAAGGGCTTTCACCAATTCACCAGAAACCCAAACCTGGCTTGCAGACATTGGGAGCCCAAACCAACAAGTCATCAATGTAGGCCAAGACAAACCCCAAATGCCCTAGTGTCAAACTATTTCATGCCAACCTGGTGACTATCTGGGAAGGCAGATTCAAACCAAACAGGAGAACCCAAAAGCAGTAGGCCTGATGCCCCACCAGGCCTATACCCAGGAAAGGGGAAGACTAACCAATTCCTGATCTGGTGATAAAGGGGAACATTCTAATAGGTATCACACAGGTCCAGAGACATCATCCAGGAATCCACCTGCAGCACCAGAAAGATGTGAACTGATGTGGAAAGCTGGACAGAAAATGAGACAATTCAAACCCGACAACATGAGAATGTACCATACATCTAGCAAGTCCTCCTTGGGAACCGAGAGCAACCAGGGCACCCATCACAGAGCAGAGGTTAACTTGACCACTTCAGTGTCCAACCACTCCATGATGACCAAGAGGGGCTGCAGAATAGACTGCTGGCCTTGCAGGCAACAGGGACTTTACTGCAATTACACCAAACAATATATCCAAGCCACCATTGAGCTGATTGGAGAACAGCTCCAATACAGCCCAAACAGGCAAAACCATGCTCAAGTGCATACAAGCTCTGTGATCATCACAATATCAGGTCCAGAAAGAAGCAAAAGAAAGCAACTAGACATGTAGCTGCCACATACTCATATCCCAGGACAAGGAGAGGTGCAAATAGGTAAGCCTGAAGTGGTACACAGTCAGTACCACTCAAAAATGCCTGGCAAACCGAACTCACCTCGTGCCATCAGAGCAGAGCATTTATGAACAGTAAATTCGGCAACCTTTTATAGCAACCAAGAAGCAGCGGCTGACCAGAAGTGAATAAACAAGGTCTAGTGATCCTGAAGGGGGAGGAAAAATGAAAAAGAGCTGAACAAGTCACTAAGGGCAAAAGCCAGGAATTCATGAACCCCAATATAAATGACACCTCTGGGGGAGGGAGGAATTTTACTCGAACCTGGAAGCACACTTGGCAGGGAGGGTGGGGGATCTCAAATAACGAAGGGGGGTACAAAAAACCCTCCACATTTATTTAATACCCCGTTCTCAGAGTGAACCACCAGAGTGAAAAGCCACCCAGCTAATGAACTCAGAGTCCCCCACCAGCCCTGGACACCCTAGAAGCAAAAGGATGAGGAAGTTGAGTACCAGGGAAGAACCAAGATTCATGCCAGATGTAGCAGACAGGAAACAAGTCTCCCCACAGAGAACAATCCGCAGCTGTAAAACCCCCGACAAACAGGAGGTAGCAGTGGCTCAACTACCTCTGCCGCCAAAGCGGAAGGGGCAGTTCCTCGCGAAGGTCCAAATACATCTCAACCCCTGCACTGCGCACTTGTTAAATATAACAACCCCATGGTGACTGAAACAAAATTTTTTTCTTTTGACACTGTTAATTATCATCCAGAAAGAAAAGTACAATACTGTACCAGACAATAAGTATTCCCAAAATATAGCATAAATACAGCTCATTAACAAAGAATTTTATGTATAGTATTATAGAAGCAAAATATAAAGTGATAAGGAATGCAACATGCAGGCTTGCTATCAGTTTAGGTGTAACTGATTTCATGGAAAGTGATGGTTGTGAATGGTGAGATTTAAAGAGAGGTATAACAGCCAGGAGCAAGACTGTCTGTGAATCACAAAAAGCCAATCACTGTCTGCTATTAATAGTGTGTATGTGGAAATACCAATTCAATTGGTTAAACAAAACATAAATTTTATGTGCATCGTCAAAACTTTGCATAACTTTGATCCACGTGTAACTCTGATGGGGATCTGACCCATATGAACAAAGCAAAAACTATATACAAAGTCCACATTCACAAAACACTCCCAGCTCACCTTTTGCCTATATTAAATATGCAAACTCCATCATGTTCAGCACTGCAAACAAACAGTAAACCCAGCTATGGGCTATGGTTTAGGCAAACCGATTGGCATAAACACGAGTTCTTTGTTATACTAAACTTTGACCCATCTGTGAATTCACTGACACACGGTTTGTTGTAACAGGATCTCGCTGTAGTTCAATGTATAAGGTATGGATCTTAGACACATTTAAAAAATAAAATATACTGCATCTCTCCAGTCTTGCTATTATAAATTTAATTAACAAATTGCATCTACAATACTGTATTACTAAACTTTCGACATTATTGTTTGCAATTGAGACTACAGGGATTATTTCCTGGAATCAGGGAATGTGTTGACATTTTGGAGCATTACAGTTATTAATTTTTAAATCGGTGAAAATCAACTAGGCAATGGCCAAATAAAAATAGGGATATTCCTTGCACTGCCTGATGTGAATCTTGAAAGTCTTAAGAAAATACGTAAATATGTTCTCCAGATATCACAAGGACACTGCAAATTGAAAAAACATTCAGTGAAAACTATAACTTTATATATCTCATTAAAGAACACCTAATCCCAACTAGGTATACCGATTTCAAAGACAAAAATTGTCAATATGAACTTACCAAATCCTTTACTTGTGGAAAATAAATAATAATAAAAAAAAAAGTTCCTTTGCTAACAAAACAGAGTACGTGCCTTCATGCCCTTTATGCCAAGATCTTTTGGTAAAGAGGCAGAGGAAGTGTGTTGGTTGGCAGTGGCAGGTTGTGTGTTGTGAGATCCGTCCTTTTGTGAACTAAGCTGCGAGCCGCTTCCACCACAACCGCCCCCACTGTTGGCAGCAGAGAGGCTGGAGGCTGGAGGATTGTCAGAATTACCGCCTCCACCACCACTGCTGCAGCACCCACCACCGCCTTGATCTTCCCCTGCCAAGCACCCACCTCCACTACCAAACTAAAACACAAGTAACATTTTTTATTACTTTTACAACACTACTGTATTATATAAACAAATAACAACAGAGCCAACAATAATAAGTCCTGATAATAAGCAAATGTTCAAATGAACTACTTAGTTAAAAAGAGAAGCTTGTCGTCAAGAGACACAGCATGCGGCCCTGAATGTTTGTCAATACCTGACCCATATTTGACATATCATTTAGCAATCACAGGTGTGTGCCAACTTTCAACAGTCTTCACCAGTTCAGAAAGTTAAAAATTAGACAAAAGCTTCAGTTTATCATCTTCCTCTATTAGTGATTTTGATTTATGCACAAGCTAAGTTTCTCACAACACACCACATTGTGACAATAACTTAGTGGATTAAGTTCCAACACTTGATCTTGAGAGTTCAAAAACAATGGCACAGACCAAAGTGTAGCAAATGAACATGCAACTCAGTATAACCATGCCAATTGTTTGTCAGGACTATATTATGAAATGGCTGAAATATGAAAAGGAATAGGAAGGGAACTATCAGGAGAATGCACCAAGCCACAATGACTATGTAGCACTGGGAAGGAAGTGGGATAAGGATTTGGGATGGGACAGGGGAAACGAATGGTGCCCAACCACTTGGATGGTCGGGGGATTTAACGCCAATCTGCATGAAGCGAGACCGTTGCTCTACCTCCACCCCAAGTGGTTGGGATAGGCCGAAGACCTACACTAGAAAGCCAAAGGAAATTACAAAATATTCTTTTTATGACAAAGATTACGTTCAATGTTTAAAGCTGTGAGTGAATAATTGGAATGAACAATCGCACTTCATTTAATTATCGTATATATAATGTTATGAGGTTTCAAAGTTAAAATAAACAGCAGGTAATAGAACTTTCAATGGACTAGTTCTAATTCCTGGAAACAATTTTAGCCCTTCAAACGAAGAGATATTTCACAGAGTAATCTTTATGGGATGAAAGTGTCAAAAGGCAAACACCAGAACCCCCACCCCCCGCCTTTACCTCCCACCCCCACATAAAAAAAAACAGCATTGTGAGCTAAATTCACACAAAAAACATCATAATTGATCTCATTTAAAAAAAATTAATGTTGGTGGGATCTTTAATTATTGATGACAGATTCATTTTTAATTAAACTGTAATCGTTATACACTAGATAAATTTTGCAGAAGATTCCAAGGCTTGAGCATGAGACTGAAGCAGACTGAAGGAAAAAAAATTATAGGAAGACCTAATGAAAACCTATCCTAGCTCTGTTACGATACAAAATTAATTGTTATGCATCCTCTTAAAAGATGCACTATGGGAAACATATCAAGTACGAAAAAAATGTGTACGAATATATGTACGTACTAGATTGGATTAACGTAAATGACAAAGAAGAGCTGTAACAGCAATAGTTATGACAACCATTTCAACCTTTAACCTTGTACAATATTCATGCTCATGGTGACCAGTCTTACATGTATATTTCATCATAGATAGTACCTGGATGGCGTTCTGGGAGCTTTAATCCCCAAGCACGGCCCAGGGCCAGGCTTGATTTGTGAGAGCTTGGTCCAACAGGCTGTTGCTCAGAACAGCCCACAGGCCCACATATCCACCACTTCCTTAAGAGAACTAACCAGTTTCTTCTTGACGATGTCCACGTTTGTTCCAGCAATATTTCTAATGTTTGCTGGGAAGATGTTAACCAACCGTGGACCTCTGATGTTTATAGTGTTCTCTGACTGTGCCTATGGCACCTCTGCTCTTCACTGGTTCTATTCTCCATTTCCTTCCATATTGTTCACTCCTGTATGTTGATATTTTACTGTGTAGATTTGGGACCTGGCCCTCCAGTATTTTCCATGTGTATATTATTTGACACCTCTCTAGTCTCCTTTCTAGGAGGTACATTTGGAGAGCTTTGAGACGATCCCAATAGTTTAGGAACTTTATCACATTTATGTATGCTGTGTATGTTCTCTGTACTCCCTCTATGTCAGCAATCTCTCCTGCTCTGAAGGGGAAAGTGAGTACTGAGCAATACTCAAAACAGGAGAGCACAAGTGATTTGAACAGTACAACCATTGTAATGGGAGGTTCTCGTAATCCATCCTATCATTTTTCTGGCTGATGCTATATTTGCTTGGTTATGTTCCCAAAATGTTAGGTTGTCAGACTTCCTTTTTCCCAGACCCTTTACATACTGCTTTCCTACTATGGGCAGATTTGATTGTGTTTTGTACCCTGTATTTTGTTTAAGGTTCCATTTTTATCGTACCTGAGTACCTGGAGTTTATCACTAATAAACATCATGTTTTTTTTTACTACCCAGTCGAAAACTTTTATTAATATCTGCTTATAGTTTTTCAATGTCTTCACCAGAAGTAATTTTCAAGCTGATTTTTGTGTCATCTGTAAAAGATGATATGAAGCTGTGACTTGTATTTTTGCCTATACAGTACTGTACCTGATATGAGAATGAGGAAAAGCAGTGGTGCAAAGACTGTGCCCTGAGGTACAGAGCTTTTAACTGCGCTTAAACTACTTTATATGGTTGACTGTTACTCTGTATTCTGTTTGACAGGAAATTGAATATCCACCGTCCCACTGACTTCATTTTGTTGGCTATGACTCCATGGTCACATTGATCAAATGCCGTTGCAAAGTCCATATATACCACATCTGCATTCTGTTTTTCTTCTAATGCCTCAGTGATTTTGTCATAGTGGTCAAGTAGCTGTGAGAGCCATGATCTTCCTGCTCTAAATTCATGTTAACCTGGATTGTGGAGGTCATTGGTCTCCATGAAATTGAAGACCTGACTCCTGATCACTCTCTCAAATACTTTTGTTATATGGGACATTAGTGCACGTGGTCTATAATTCTTAGCCAATGCTTTGCTCCCTCCCTTGTGTAGAGGGGCTATGTCTGCTACTTTAAGCGCATCTGGTATCTTCCCTGTGTCCAAACTCTTCCTCCACACTATTCCGAGTGCCTGTGCTACTGGCATTTTTCATTTCATTATAAATATTGAATTTCATGAGTCTGGACCCAGGGTTGAATGCATTTTATCAATTTATCTTTCAAAATCTGCAGCATTCGTGATATCCGTTATATTCTCAGGGGTTTGGATATCACGTATAAAGAAGCTGTCCGGATCTTCTACTTTCATGCTGTTTACTGGGGTGCTAAACATATCCTCATACTGCTTTCTTCAGGATTTCACTAGTTTCTTTGTCATCCTCTGCATATGAAGCTTCACTTGTAAGAATAGGTCCAATACTAACCATGGTTTTTGCTTTTGAATTTGCATATGTGAAAGAAATATTTTGATTTTTTTTTTTTTATCTCTTGTATGGTTTTCTGTTCTAACTGCATTTCTTCAATCTGATATGAATGCTCCAGTCTCTGCTCAATTTCCTCCATCTCCCTGTTTAAATTATTCCTTCTTTGTTGGAATAGTCATGTCTGCTTATGCATTTCCATTATTTTTTTTCCTTTTGTAATGCCTTCTGCCTTCTCTAAGTTGGTTCTCTTTCTGACTTTCCTCAAAGGAACATGTTTCTGACAGACTTTATACACTTTATATGCTTTACAAGTCAATTGTTCTATTGCTTGTGTGGGATTTCTATTACAGTACTTAGAACAGCTTCCTTTTGAATGTTTCTAAGTTCCTTGTTTTGATTTATTTCCAATTTATCCTTTTATTATTAAAATTTAATTGATTTAATAACCCATCTTGCTTCATCATTGCTTTAGGCCTATTACGAGTATTGATATTAGTTTGCACTTCAATGAGCTTGTGATCTCAGTATGTGGTATCTGAGATTGTAATGTCCCTTATTTTGTCTTCATTATTTGTGAAGATAAGATCTAGAATATTTGTTTTCCTAGTTGGCTCTGTTATCTGCTAGTCGCTGTGAAAATTTGTCACAGAATCTAAGTACAGATAGTTCTCTAATCTGTGGTTGATTATGTCCAGATAGATTTGCCGGTATAATACTATTGTTTGCTATTCTCCATCTTCAACTGGGCAGGTAGAAGTCTCCTAGGAAAATAATATCAGGTACGGTATTGGGTTTGTCAGATTATCAAGACTCTGTTTTGTTTATCTGTTCTGTGAATTCCTCAGCTATTGCATCTGGTGGTTTATATATTAGAATAATAACTAAGCTTATTTTGAAGTTATTAAAGTTTAGTCGTTTTGGCGCACAACCATCACCACAAAAAGCCAAAGGCGGGCCGAAAGAGCAAAGCTCAACCCCCACAAACACAACTAGATGAATACAGATTGTATTCCCATCATGCACAGCTATTAGTTCAAACGAATTTCCTGTTATCGTTACTTTACATTTTCTGTGGTTTACAACTATGACCTCTAGTTCTGCATATTTCCAATTTCAATAATGTTTTCCTACCTATTTTACTGCATGCTTTAAAAAATTTATATGTGGTTTATCATATTCCATCTTTCTTCCACTTTCCAATTTCACCATATTCAAAGTTTTTATTATAAAACAATATATTTCTTAAATCTGAAATCAATTTCACTGCATGGCCTTGGGCATTTTCAATTTTGTTAATATTTCTTTAATATGAAGGTACCATACTACTGCTGCACACTGTAATTCAGACATTCGGGTCTGGCATTTATCGTTATAATTTTCTTTAGTATTTCTACAACTATAACTTTAGAGATGATTCTAAAATTTACCCAAGTTTGGATAGAAATTTCACTTTAGTGTTTAAGCTTTCTGGTGATATCGTAGTACAGTACAGCATCCAAACTTAAAAAAACCAAGAGCCCCTAAACACCCAGACTTTTTAAAAAAAAATTAATTTAAGTGTGCTGAAACACCAATTACTTGGAAGTGCCTCAGTTACTTTCCTTAGTTTACTGAACTGCCAAGACCCAGGATTTTGTGCCCATATTAATCCAAGGACCATAGTCTTTCCCCCTTCCCTCTACTGGATGGGGATGCAGTAGGGATCAAAGATACCCTCACTACCCAGGAATACAACCTGTTCTCGCACTTTATTACAGTCAATATTGACTTATTAAATACGTGCTTATGTGACATACTAAACATACTAGTTTACCTTGAAAAGCTTCATTGTAAACACCGACCTTACCTAACCTTTTTAGTATGTTAAGATAAGCATCTTATTGCTTCGTAATTACAATTATTACTTAACCAATACCTATAATAGGTTAAGTAATAATTGTAATTACGAAGCAATAAGATGCTTATCTTAACATACTAAGAAGGTTAGGTAAGTTCGGTGTTTTCTATGAAGCTTTTCAAGGTAAACTAGTATGTTTAGTATGTCACATAAGCACGTATTTAATAAGTCAATATTGACTATATGAAAGTGCGAGAACGGGTTGCAGGAATACTGCCTTATAGGTTGAAAGTACATGACTCAACCTCCCTCCCTCCCTCTCTCCCCCTACCCCCCCTCTCTCTTCCCCCCCCCCCCATTCTCCCTCTCCCTCCCCTTCTCTCTCTCCCTCCCCCCCCCCCTCCTCTCTCTCTATATATATATATATATATATATATATATATATATATATATATATATATATATATATATATATATATATATATTATATATATATATATATATATATATATATATATATATATATATATTATATATATATATATATATATATATATATATATATATATATATATATATATATATATATATATATATATATATATATATATATATATATATATATATATATATATATATATATATATACATATATATATATATATATATATATATATATATATATATATATATACATATATATATATATACATATATATATATACATATATATATATATATACATATATATATACATATATATATATATATATATATATATATATATATATATATATATATATATATATATATAATGTCATACCTAGTAGCCAGAACGCACTTCTCAGCCTACTATGCAAGGCCCGATTTGCCTAATAAGCCAAGTTTTCCTGAATTAATATATTTTCTCTATTTTTTTCTTATGAAATTATAAAGCTACCCATTTCATTATGTATGAGGTCAATTTTGTTTTATTGTAGTTAAAATTAACGTAGATATATGACCGAACCTAACCAACCCTACCTAACCTAACCTAACCTATCTTTATAGGTTAGGTTGGGTTAGGTTGCCGAAAAAGGTAGGTTAGGTTAGGTTAGGTAGGTTAGGTAGTCGAAAAAACATTAATTCATGAAAACTTGGCTTATTAGGCAAATCGGGCCTTGCATAGTAGGCTGAGAAGTGCGTTCCGGCTATTAGGTACGATATATATATATATGTCGTACCTAATAGCCAGAACCCACTTCTCAGCCTACTATGCAAGGCCCGATTTGCCTAATAAGCCAAGTTTTCATGAATTAATTGTTTTTCGACTACCTAACCTACCTAACCTAACCTAACCTCACTTTTTCGGCTACCTAACCAAACCTAACCTATAAAGATAGGTTAGGTTAGGTTAGGTAGGGTTGGTTAGGTTCGGTCAAATATCTACGTTAATTTTAACTCCAATAAAAAAAAAATGACCTCATACATAATGAAATGGGTAGCTTTATCATTTCATAAGAAAAAAATTAGAAAAAATATATTAATTCAGGAAAACTTGGCTTATTAGGCAAATCGGGCCTTGAATAGTAGGCCAAAAAGTGAGTTCTGGCTACTAGGTACGACATATATATATATATATATATATATATATATATATATATATATATATATATATATATATATATATATATATATATATATATATATATATATATATATATATATATATATATATATATATATATATATATATATATATATATATATATATATATATATATATATATATATATATATACTGTATATATACTGTATATATATATATACTGCATATATATATATACACACACACACAAATGTTTGGGGATCACCAAGCTATGAAGCAAAACTCCATACATCCACCACAAATTGATGGGACGGGCCATCCAAGGCTAACGTTAGGCTACCATCCCACTCTCAGGGCTAAGCGAAACAATGACACAGGAAAGAAGGGTAAAAGAGAGTGGGAACAGGAAGTTACTGAGGCTTTGCCCACAAGTTGTCATTTTATTATAATCAACATTCTATTTTTGGGCTAACTCCCTCAGTAACTTCCCCTAGCTTACTGCCACAATGCTACAGAGATGAAAGCAACCATTTTTTTAGGGGCTCAAGACAAAACAGACAACTAGGAAAATATAATAAAACGTGATTTACCTGTGAGAACATTACGACGCTGTCAAGGGATGTCTGGGAAGTAGATAGAGGCCAACACACAATTTGTTTTGGAGCATTAAGCGTCGAAAGCTGGGAGGCCAGACGACATGTAGGATTGTAAGCACGAAGTCCCCTAGTTGCATCGGGAGTAGCCACCGAGGGAGGCTTGGACTTGGCACAAGTCACCAAAATCAAAGCCTCGAAATCCTCCTCAAAAAAGAAGAAACTTCTCTAACTCCACAACAGCAGCAGCAGCAAGGGGCTGCAACAGCCTGAAAGATAAGGCACGAGCTTACACATGAGCCACCACCTCATAGGTTTGGCAACTGCCCTAGAGGGCAATCCAGCCAGCATAAGAGGTCTAGCAGCACCACACAACATGAATCCAAGGGTGTAAAAATCCCCAGAATCCAGCAGAAGGAATACAGGAGGCAACAGACATGACCATCAGTTTTGAAACACAACATTGCAACACACAAAACTGCAAACACCATAGTCAAACTGAATTGGATTAAGGATTTATCTTATCCCCAACCAGCAGAGATATGAAGTAAACAACCTTCAAAATAGGCTGACAATATTTCCTCGAGACAAAAATGGGACATTGTGATGGCAAAAACGATTACGTAATATTCAATATTTATGAAAAAGCAACACAATATAAAAGAGTTTTATTACAAACATTCACTTGCTGCAGTTTTATTGCTTTCATTACCACCCTCACGTCTCGCCATAAATGACCTGATGTTTTTAACTGAAGCCAGTCTTTTCAGCATCCTTGTATTTCTGGTTATTGTACATAGATGTTGATTGTTGCTTCTACTTCCATAAGCCACAGGAAAATGGACATTACAATGTCAGTATACCACTTTCATTCCATCACTACATAGCTTGTCCAGTTTGATAAATTTGAATTCCTTCTGGAGATCATCATTAAAACTGCAGTTTTAATGCAGTCAGTGCTTGACACTGCAAGGATAGATTTAAAGCTTAAAGAAATATCAGACCTTCGCAGAATAACAAAGCTACTAGTTAGCATACAGGAAAAACAAACACTACAGCAGAACAGATGATGTATCTGGAACGAGGGTTGCCAACATTTATTTTTTATTTCCTCTGAACAAATCTCTGCAGATATCGGTACCTAGTATCGAACAATGCGAGTCTATGGTCATACAAATTACTGGTGGCCATGATATTGCTATGCGATTATAAGAAATGAATAAGTTATGATTGATCAATATTAAAGGATATTTATAGTTTATTATAAACGGGACAAAATTTCCATTTTTATTAAAATGAAGTGACAGCTGGGAAATAAATAAATAAATGGTACTGTCCCGTTCAAAACCATATGTACAGTATATGCAGTTTATTCCTGAAGCACAGGACTTAGACTATAACGATCAAATGAGGCCTAGCAACCCAGCTAGGCACAAGAACTTATGTACAGTATAAGGCTGGCAAACAATGAAACCCATTAACCTACAACAAGTACGAACATGAGCAGCAATTGAGAAAATTAAAAGTTCACTTAAATCGACACACTAGGAAAGCAGTGGCCAACCAAATATGTTTCTCAGCCATGTCCATGACCAAGGCAAGGGAAATGACCAGACCATCAATGAAACAAATATTTGCTAAGTTAATTTAAGGACTCTAATGCATTAAAGCTTAATTATAAGCATAATGCCTGAATTTGTCTGAAATAGAAACATTCTATTCTTAAATTAATATATAACAGAATTCTAATGACAAGACATGTCTGGACATGACCGAATAATGCGAGATTTCAACATTTAGCATTCCTTTATCTCCCCATGTCAAGAAGCTCTAGTTAAGTAACCAAACAAACTACACCTCTCGGTTAAACTTCTAAGTGTATATTAATTAGGCAAGATTGGTTCCTCTACTTGGTCAGTCACAAGAAAAAGTCCACTCACACCACCTAGCCCCGAACATTGAGCACATTTCAGCAACTGCATATTTTTATGAAGAATACTGTTTATATTCCAGTTGACAATTTGTGTTTGCAACTACTGTACTGGCTTGACTATGACTATACTGTTATAATGCAAACCCAGCTAATGATCCAAAGATCTATCCCCACTCGAGTTAAATCCAAGCACAATACACACACACTACACCCTTGGAGGAACTGAAGAGGTACTGAGCTTAACCCTCAAACCGCGCATATCATATATAAATGATATCAGTGACAAAACCGAAACCGTGCACATCATTTATATATGATTTCGTGTCTAGCGCTATAATTTAAACGCCCCGCCTGGGATAGGGGTAGCTATAGTACAGCCACGACCGATAGTTGCCAGATGCCACCTAGAAAAAAAATCCAGGCCAACATTCTTGGGTGTTACAGCATCAGTATTGAACAAGCCACCAAGGCAGGTGCACGCAGCACGAGCTCACAGCACCGCTGTTCAGCTTGTGACCACAGCATCGCCTACAAATGCCATAATATACCTGTTCATGCTATTATTTAACAGTGATAGTATTACTGAATGAAGCCCCCTGACTGTGATAAAACTGACCAGGATTCTGATAATAGCAGGATTGTGGTGATATTTAGCGCTGTGCTCCATGGAGGGAGGAGTAAGGCTGTGGAGGGAGGGTTGTGGCGTCGTCTTCTGACTGTGTGCGGCCACCATTTATTGACTGCACTCACCATACCAGCTTAGTGGTTCGCTATGGTGAACACAAATGTAGATACTTATATATAATGTGTGTATAGTGTGAGATAACAGCGAGAGAAGTAGGTTGGGAGCCGCCATTTTGGTGAGGGAGGAGCGACGTCTGCATGACTTGGCATGTTGTTTACTGATGGCCACTATGGTCTTTGGGCACCATACCAGCTTATTTATACAGGTATGGTGAATAAAACAGGTAGATACTTGTATATAATGTGTGTATATAGCGTAATAACACCACAAACAATATTGTTGGAGGAGAAATATTAGTGCGTCTGGCCTTGAGGGCGGTCGCCGATCAGCTGACTGTATGAGTAGCTACGTCTTTGTGCCTTTACTCACCATACAAGCTTAGATGTACAGTTATGGTGAACAAAACATGTAAATACGTATATATAACGTCCGTGTATAGTGAATAAATGCAAAAATAGTATTGTGGCAGGAGAATGAGGGTGAGTGAGGTGGTGTTGAGGGAGGGAGTGGCAGCGAGTGGCTCGCTGGTGTTTTGTCAAAAAGCACGCTCGTTGCTTTTTGACTCAAGACCAACTTACTAGTTCGTTATGGTGAACAAAACATGCAGATACTTATATATAACCTGTGTATATAACCTGTGTATATAGTGTAACAACAGCAAAACTATTTGTTTATTGTTTTATGAACATAATAATTGAATCACTAATATGCACACCATAATTATGAGTACAGCGATGGTTCACACATTTTATTATATAAATATACCACAATTCACTGTATGGAATAATATTACTGCAAAAAAAATCTAAGAAAAAATCAATCAGAGACATTGAAATAATTAGATAGTAATATATTTGTGGCAACTGCTGTCTGACAGCTCGGGCGGAGTAGACCTCGTCTAGAGAAGGCTCTGCCAACGCCCCTTTTTTGCCACACTTTCCTACCCTATTGCGGCTAAAATATGCCACCTACGATTTTTTTGTTATTTTTTTCTGTGATCAGGGAACAAAAATGAACACGTCTATAAGACGAAAGAATTTTTTGGATTTTTTTTTTTTTTTGCGCCTGTGGGTGTGAATTCCATTTGGGCCCCTAGCGGTTTGAGGGTTAAACTAGGGAGGAGGGTAAACACCATCTTCAATCTTGAGATAGATCTGATCTGGCCTGGTCATCAAAGCCCTAGAGGAATATAAGGGTAACCAAAAAAAGCCCCTATGGAATCCTCTTCAGACCAGACACTAATAGCCTCAATTAAGGAAGAAACGTCAGCCTCCAAATCCAACCCAAGGAATGCATCCAACTATGAGGCAATAGTGAAAGAACAGAAAGTTCCATCCCCCCCCCCAAACCCAGTGCAACTCCTCCAACGCGAATATGAAAATATCTATAAGGTTTTTCCTCACAAAAGACGTGAAACTGCTCAGATCTCATGCCAGCAAATGTCAGGAACTGCAAACACTAACAATGAAGTACAAGAGCCCAAAAATACGCTGGTGCTTCATAAGATGACGTTGCACCCAACAAGGGGCAAGCTAAAAATGAAAGACTATCGGTCATCAAAATACACAGGGGCACAAACCATGCACACAGTATTACTAGATGCCATACTGAACAGGACATCCATCAAAGATCAACAAGTAAAGGTAAATGATCTCTACTGTCGAACAAATCGAACCCCAGGTAACACTTCAAAGTTATTGGTTGCAAAAGAAATGTAATTATATGCATTCATAGAACCAATAACATGCAATAACATAGAAGGGTAACGATTGCCACATACAAAAAAATCATTAATATTCTAAAATGAAAATCCAAAGAATGAAGATCATCACACCATCACCCCAACAAGATTACACATGAGAACCCTAAGTGCAGTACTGTACCTGTATGTGTAAACAAACTCAATACCAAGGTCTCAGCCTAGAGTGAAGTTTGTGGCCCAATTCATGAGAAAGTGAACTACAAAAAATCTCAAGAGGAGATATGTGGTGGCCATTGGTCTCAACCATCAGTGCCAACTGCAGCGGAAGCAGGATAATAGAAGTCAGATACATCAAACAAGGCACCATGACGTGAAGCCAATACTAAAGTATAATACACTCTTTGTAGTAACAAAATCAAAGAATAGGAAGCCAAATTTACCTGAATTTACCTATGCAGAGCAGAGTGCTTTGTACTCACCTAATTGTGCCTGCGGGGGTTGAGCTTTGGCTCTTTGGTCCCGCCTCTAAACTATCAATCAACTGGTGTACAGATTCCCAAGATAGAAGTCAGGCACAAAATGCCACCACATTCTATCTATCCAGTCATATAACTAGTATGAACATCTAGAGGTGGTTAGTGCAGCTATTGTTTGATAGCTCTTTATTTTCAGAATGATAACTGGATGTCCTTGCAGTTCTAATGATCACTTGGAGGGACTGAGTAGCTTTATATATGTTATTAGGTGTCACATCATGAGGATTCTTTCTTATGGTGGATAGAGATGCTTTCCAATTTGCTCCCAGCCACTGGTTACCTTTAGTTTACATGTCATCAGTTTCAAGAGTTCCTTGACTTCCCGAGCCCAGTCTGGTACTTGGCTTGCTTGGCAATAACTAGTTCAGTTAGGTGGTTGTTTGCAGTGGACCACTATATAAATAAATCCCATTAGAAAGTTACTTATTTCTCTGAAGCTAATAATCAACCAGAGTCTGCCGTGCTAGTTGTGACCTGGGTGTCCCTAACGGCCTGGGAAGGAGAGTAACCAGAAGAGCCTTCAAAATAAAAAACAAAAACTTAAAAGTGAAACTCTAATTATATAGCTTCTCTTAGTATTAGACGAGTCCCAGAGACGATTGTAGTGTCGAGTACTGGAGCCTGCTATAGATTTTACTGAAAGGTTTAGTACAAACAAAAATTACAAATAAAACGCTAAGTGTCTCGGAGTCTTGCTGCCTCCTAAACATGCAGTAAATTCCCCATAGATTTCAGCATTTATTATTTCCATACAGACGAACTGCAATTAAATTATTTTAACTTTACGTATAATGAAAAAGCTCTGATGAATTCATAGTGCAAGTACAATAACTACAGTAGAGTACCATGAAACAAACACAACATCAGTTTGTCAGTCGTGATGCACCAACCATCCATACATTGCATCATATTTTTCACAGAATTTGAATCTTCTTATCAATTTCACATTACAGTAATAAACAGTATCTTCTATTATGGAATTGATAAAATCGATAGGGAAGATTTCCTAAGACCTGGAACGTCAAGAACAAGAGATCATAGATATAAACTAGCTAAACACAGATGCCGAAGAAATACTGTATAAGAAAATTAACTTTCGCAAACAGAGTGGTAGACGGTTGGAACAAGTTAGGTGAGGTGGTGGTGGAGGCTAAGACTGTCAGTAGTTTCAAAGCGTTATATGACAAAGAGTGCTGGGAAGATGGAACACCACGAGCATAGCTCTCATCCTGTAACTACACTTAGGTAATTACACATACACACACTCCTGCGTGCAATAAAAAAAGGGAAAGATCGACCTTTGAGGATCACCCTAAACGGTGCTAAACAGATGGAAGAAGTACAGTACTAAGGAATGCTAGAAAATTACAAAGTGATGAGGATGGGAAAGTATGGTCGCTAAGACAAGATTTTTCAAGAGAAAGCAGAGAAGCTGAAACTAAACCTTGTAGAGGTAAAATGTCTAAATGAGAGCAGGAACGAAGAAGAAATTGATTCTTATTCTACAAAGTAATAGGGGTAGGCAGGCCAGTAAAATGGTACAAAAAGACAAACCAACAAAATCACTAGAGAAAGAGGTAGTGAAGATAAGGAGAGGGAACATGTTCCTGAAAATTGTATACACCAATGTAGATGGAGTGAGATCAAAGATAATGGAGTACTAGAGAAAGAGGTAGTGAAGATAAGGAGAGGGAACATGTTCCTGAAAATTGTATACACCAATGTAGATGGTGTGAGATCAAAGATAATGGAGTTAAGTGATGTAATACAGCTGCATATGCCAGACATTGTTGCACTCATGGAGACGAAACTTAAAGAGGTCATATTCCCAAGGGGTTACTTAGTTTGGAGACATGACAGAATAATTACGAAAGGCAGTGGCATTGCTGTGCTGTTGAAAGAACCCCTAAGGTAAACGAAATTATGATTGCCAATCCACGAGAAGTTGACGTACTGTAATAGCACTAGAGATCTGTAATCAGGATGATAAACTATTGATCATAAATGCATAGTCCACTGCCATGCAACACATGGACAAAGGAGGAGCTGGATAATAAAAGAGCAGGTCTTGTAACAATAATGAGATTATTGCTTATAATAGCGAAAGGGGATAAGGATAAATCACGACTGTTGGTAGTCGGCTATTTCAACTTGAAATCCATAGACTGAGAAGCATATGAAGCTAGAACAGAGGACTTTTGGACCTGTAGATTTGTAGACCTCATTCTGGAAACATTCTTGTATCAACATGTTAAACAAGCTACGAGGATGAGCGAAGGGGATATTCCCCTTCATGCTAGATTTAATATTTACCAGGAAAGAGGAAATGATATTCGACAATCAGCACCTTCCTCCCTTGGGTAATAGTGATCATGTCTTTTTGGGAATAAAGTATGCAATGCATTATAATCTGGAGGAAAATAAGGAGGTTGAAGCAGTTGAAAAACCTGACTTCAGGAGAGGACATAATGGGGACCTTACAAAAAATTTTAATGAGTATAATTGGACAGACTTGTTGCTAGGCAAGGAAGTAAATGAGATGTATGTCAAGTTTTGTGAAATATATGATAAAGGAACAAAAAAATTATACCAAAGCAGAAATGCAGAACCAAGAAACAGAATTGGTTCAACAGAAATTGCGAGAGGGCCCGAGGCAAAGACACAAAACTAGAATCAATATAGAAGGCCAGGCTTGACTTGTGAGAGCTTGGTCCAACAGGCCGCTCCAAGCACGCACATACCCACCATAGCCTGGTTGGCCTATTCTATAACTTCATAAACAACAAATTGCAGGTAAAGGATAATATTCAGAGGTTGAAAGTGGGAAACATTCACAGAAAATGAAAAGGAAATGTGTGAAACATTAAAAGAAAAGTTCCAAAGTGTATTTGTACAAAATGACATCTTCAGGGAACCAGACACAATAAGAATTCCAGAAAACAACAGAGAGCACATAGAGGTGTCTAGAGATGTAGTGGAAAAAATGCTCAAGGAACTAAGTAAGAACAAAGCAGTTGGTCCAGATGGAGTTTCACCATGGATTCTGAGAGAATGTGCACCTGAGCTCAGCATTCCACTTCAACCGATTTTTAAGGCATCCCTGTGTACAGGAGTCGTACCAGATGTGTGGAAAAAGGCTAACATAGTTCCAATCTATAAAAGTGGCAGCAGGGAAAGTCCCCTCAATTATAGACCTGTATCATTGACAAGTGTAATAGTCAAAATATTGGAAAAATAATTAAAACTAAATGGGTAGAACACCTGAAGAAAAACGATATAATATCAGACAGACAGTGTGGTTTTCGATCTGGAAGATCCTGTGAAACAAATTTACTCAGTTTCTATGATCGAGCCACAGAGATTTTACAGGAGAGATGGTTGGGTTGACTGCATCTATCTGGACCTAAAAAAGGCTTTTGACAGAGTTCCACATAACAGGTTGTTCTGGAAGCAAACATATAGGACAGGTAACAGGTAAGCTTCTAACATGGATGACAAATTTTCTAAACGATAGAAAAATGAGGGCAGTAATCAGAGGCAATGTATTGGACTGGAGAAATGTCACAAGTGGAGTACCACAGGGTTCAGTTCTTGTACCGGTAATGCTCATTGTCTACATAAACAATCTACCAGATTAAATACAGAAAAATATAAACATGCTTGCTGATGATGCTAAGATAATGGCGAAGATAAGAAACTTAGATGATTGACATGCCCTTCAAGACGACATGGACAAAAAAAAAGTACAGTATATGGAGCACCTCTTGGCAAATGGAATTTAATGTGAATAAATGCCATGTTATGGAATGTGGAAAAGGAGAACATAGACCCTACACAACCTATAAATTATGTAATTACCCAAGTGTAATTACCTAAGTGTAGTTACAGGATGAGAGCTATGCTCGTGGTGTCCCGTCTTCCCAGCACTGTCATATAACGCTTTGAAATTACTGACGGTTTTGGCCTCCGCCGCCACCTCACCTAACTTGTTCCAAAGCTGCAGGAGAAATATAAGAAAATTCACTTTTGTAAACAGGATGGTAGATGATTGGAACAAGTTAGGTGAGAGTGGGAGGCTAAAACCGCCAGCAATTTCAAAACATTATATGAAAGAGTGCTGGAAAGATGGGACATCACGAGCATAGCTCTCATCCTGTAACTACGCTCTGGTAATTACACACACATACACACACACACCCCACGAGTTATAAATATCATCTGATTATCAACTACGAGTTGTACCAAATATATATCGATTCATATTTTTGGATAAGAAACTGACATGTATTTCTTGTTTTCACATTAATAAACTCTTTATTTCATGAATTTCGATCTTTGTTTATATAGAGTTTGGCATGAAAGTGGGGAAACGGGGCAATGATTATGTATGGATGGAAAGGTTGATGAATTGCAACTCTACATACGCTACAGTGAAACAGACAATCATCAAGATTGTCACACGGGCCTTGCACCTACCGTACACTGCATCATTGCTTGCGTTGTGTGTGTGTAGATGTGAGAGGGAGTTGGAGCGAGGCTAGCTCAGCTGACTTCCCTGGCTGTAAATATTTTGGCTAATTAAACCTATGCAATTTTGAATAAAAATTAAGACAAATTTAGAATACATAGTTTATTAATTAATGTAAAAATAATAAATGCCTTTTGAAAGGTTGTGTTGCGAGTGCAGCAGTGTGTATAGAGGGATGTGGACCGAGGCTAGCTATTTCTTGGCTGGGAATATTTGGACTAGATCTATGAAGGCTAGTTATGTTACAAATAAAGAAAAAAGAAAAGAAAAGAAAAGAATTATGGTTTATTAATGTGAAAGCAATAAATTCAAATTTTACCACTTACCATTACAAAAGATTACACAACTATGACCAAAGGAAAAAAAAAATTCTCAGTCTTCGATAAGAAATAAAATGTCGATAAGAAATAAAATCTACTGTATTATTTGGTTGATAAATCAACCTGTCCACTTGAACAGTACATCACATTTTGACAAATTCCCAACAGCCAAAAAATGATGTACAGGTACTATAAATCATTGTGGTATGCAAAAATGACAGGCTGTCAAGATTTCTATTCATAGGTTCTTGGTTCGGTTAGGTTCAGACAGGACGGGCTGAATAAATAGCCCAATTTCTAACAATATTTGATTAGTAGTACAGCAGAACCTCAGTACTCAAACGTAATTGGTTCCAGAAGGTCATTCGAGTGCCGATCTGTCCAATTACAGAATAATGTTTTCCCACGAGGAATAATGTAAATTAGATTAATCCATTCCCGACCACAAAAATAACACACAAATACAAAAAATAAATTAAATAAATGCAAATTTATTCTCACTTTACCTGCACTCTGGAGAGTCGATGGCATATGTGGGAGGTGGTGATTTAGAGATGTTATTGTTTGGCAGGGGAGTCCCCAACCATAAAAACTTCAGGTAATTGTGTTTCTGGGGTTCTTTCTCATTTCTATCTTTTACTACTGTATTTCCCCTCATGAGACTCACTGGGTGCTTTTCTTGCAAGAAACTTGTTTAATGATATTTAATTTTAAACAGACATCTGGGTACCACTTTCCTATTTTGCTATGTATTCTTTTCTAGAGATAGCGCCTTTGTGGCTCCCTAAAGCTACTACGTATACCAATATAGTGCCAGACTACAAGGTACCATCAGGCGCAGAGTTCTTATTGGCCTATCATAGACTACGAGCCAGATCCTGGCCCTCATTACTTATTTATTATTATTTTGTTATATAATGTATACTGTACAAGAGTTCTTACATTCTTGAACAGCAACTAGCATGCATAGCAATTCAGGCAAGTCCTTAATCCTAATTTTCACACACACATCCCCAGGAAGCAGCCTGTAGCAACTGTCTAACTCCCAGGTACCTATTTACTGCTAGGTGAACAGGGCGTCAAGGAGAAAAACTCTGCCCTTGTTTCCCCCTCTGCCAGGGATCGAACCCGGACCCTTAGGACTACGAACCCCAAACGCTGAACCCCTTCTCAGCTGTCAGGGCCCCATTGAGCGCAGGAAGCAGTGGCTCCATGAAAATTTTTATATAAATTTATTCACGTCAGCCACCCCCAAGGAAAGGCATGCAGAAAGTCAGCAAAACAAAACAGATCACTGCTTGTTAAGAAAACCAGACCGCAGCCTGGCCTGTCGAGCCTGAGGTGTAGAAGAACTCTCAAAACACACTTCAGGTATGCAGCTTCAAAGCAGCCAAAAGAACTTCCCCAACAATGTAAACAAATTATCAAAAATTTGTGAAACTAGTGCAAGCTAGTTCACCCCACATCTTCCCTTGTTTGGTTGGAGAGAGGCAGACCGGTTCAGCTGACTGATCCACCTGGTTGATACCTGGTTGATACCTGGTTGATGGGGTTCTGGGAGTTCTTCTACTCCCCAAGCCCGGCCCGAGGCCAGGCTCGACTTGTGAGAGTTTGGTCCACCAGGCTGTTGCTTGGAGCGGCCCGCAGGTCCACATACCCACCACAGCCCGGTTGGTCCGGCACTCCTTGGAGGAATAAATCTAGTTTCCTCTTGAAAATGTCCACGGTTGTTCCAGCAATATTTCTTATGCTTGCTGGGAGGACGTTGAACAACCGCGGACCTCTGATGTTTATACAGTGTTCTCTGATTGTGTCTATGGCACCTCTGCTCTTCACTGGTTCTATTCTACATTTTCTTCCATGTCGTTCACTCCAGTACGTTGTTATTTTACTGTGTAGATTTGGTACTTGGCCCTCCAGTATCTTCCAGGTGTATATTATTTGATATCTCTCTCGTCTTCTTTCTAGTGAGTACATTTGGAGGGCTTTGAGACGATCCCAATAATTTAGGTGCTTTATTGCGTCTATGCTTGCCGTATATGTTCTCTGTATTCCCTCTATTTCAGCAATCTCTCCTGCTCTGAAGGGGGAAGTGAGTACTGAGTACTCAAGACGGGACAACACAAGTGACTTGAAGAGTACAACCATTGTGATGGGATCCCTGGATTTGAAAGTTCTCGTAATCCATCCTATCATTTTTCTGGCTGTCGCAATATTTGCTTGGTTATGCTCCTTCACCAGTTCTTATACTGATGTATCCGTGCTTGGTCACCCACTCAGTTCACTCTGGCTCCGGTCTCCTGTCAGCCAAGTGGTATTTTGCCATTGAAGCCTTTCTTGTGAATGTGCAGCATGAGTCAGGAGCTTAGTGTGCTTGGAGCTGCATGTGCCCAGGGCTTACCTCCCATCACTGGTGCAAGAACTGAACCCTGTGGTACTCCACTTGTGACATTTCTCCATTCTGATACATTGCCTCTGATTACTGCCCTCATTTTTCTATCAGTCAGAAAATTTTTCATCCATGATAGAAGCTTACCTGTCACCCCTCCAATATTTTCCAGTTTCCAGAACAACCTCTTATGTGGAACTCTGTCGAAAGCCTTTTTTAGGTCCAGATAGATGCAGTCAACCCAACCATCTCTTTCCTGTAATATCTCTGTGGCTCGATCATAGAAACTGAGTAAATTCGATACACAGGATCTTCCAGATCGAAAACCATACTGTCTGTCTGATATTATATCATTTCTCTCTAGGTGTTCTACCCATTTAGTTTTGATTAGTTTTTCCAATACTTTCACTATTACACTTGTCAATGATACAGGTCTATAATTGAGGGGGTCTTCCCTGCTGCCACTTTTGTAGATTGGAACTATGTTAGCCTGTTTCCACCCGTCTGCTACGATTCCTGTACACAGGGATGCCTGAAAGATCAGGTGAAGTGGAATGCTGAGCTCAGATGCACATTCTCTCAGAACCCATGGTGAAACGCCATCTGGGCCAGCTGCTTTGTTCTTACCGAGCTCCTTGAGCATTTTTTCCACTTCGTCTCTAGACACCTCTATGTGTTCTATGTTGTTCTCTGGAATTCTTATTGTATCTGGTTCCCTAAAGATTTCATTTTGTACAAACACACTTTGGAACTTTTCGTTTAGTGTTTCACACATTTCCTTTTCATCTTCCGTGAATCTATTTCCCATTTTCAACCTCTGAATATTATCCTTTACCTGCAATTTGTTGTTTATGAATTTATAGAATAGACCTGGTTCTGTTTTACATTTGTCCGCAATCCCTTTTTCAAAATTTCTTTCTGCCTCTCTCCTCACTGCCGTGTAGTTGTTTCTCGCATCTTTGTATCGCTGGTATGTTTGGGGGTTCGGCCTCTTCCTGTATTGATTCCATTTTTGTCTGTGTGCTCCTTTAGTACTGCCCTTGCACTGTCAGGGTTCTCTTCCCTGGAGTGTTTGGGGATCACTTTCTTAGGGGGTCACGCCCGTCAGGTAAACCGATTGTCTGGGACTGCCCGTCTTTCCACAGGTTGGGAATGAATTTAGGCTGGTGGGGCGCACTGGTTTGTGCGACCTAGCCAGTGCACTGAGATAGTCCTTCCCGATTATATGCCCAATTGGGTCTACGAATCTCCCTGGTTCCTAAGCTCCACGGTTTGGTGCTTGAGAGTTGTGGTTTTAGTTTCTATTTTTCTGTTCTTTGGGGTTGTTTCTATTAATTTGTGTCATTTTCATTTTGCGAGTGGTTCCCCTTTTTAGTGTGTTCCCTTTTTAGTTCCCCTTTTTCTCTCTTTCCCTTTCCACTCTCTAAGATCTTTAGTGTTTTCACATTTTTGTAGGCTAAGTGTGACTTGGTCTCACTTATTCCACATTCTATTACTTAATATTTATCAACATTGAATTCAATTTCCCATGTAATTCTCCATTCACTTATTTTTTTAGGTAATTTTAAAGGGTACAGTAGTCATCGAGGGCTTTTATTCGTCCCAGGAGCTTAGAATCATAAAGTAATAATCCCTCAAAATCCCTTCAGGTAGATCATTTATATCAACCCATCTTCCTGTTTAGATAGTACTTTTAGTAACTTTGTGCACAATAGTACAAATATTGCCATACTAAGCAATTAGAACTTTGTACTATTGTGAATATACAGACAGAAAAATGAAGCTAACAAAATTTAAATATTCTTAGGCCTAGTATAGCACACACATGCACCATATTAGGCCTCAGATAGCATGTATTAGGCCTACTTGGGAAGTTAGGTTAGTTTGTCTTTGCAACAATCGTCTTCCGGTGTGTCCAAATTCAATAATACCGATCTCTACTTTCTAATTGTGTTGTACGTCGGTTATATGTGCTATGATCCTCATCCTTCCTATAAATACAAGGTACTGTACAAGTACTAACAAAACATGAGGATGGGCTGTTTATATAGACAAAGGTAATTACTGGTACTATTTCTGAGCACGTGATACTCCACTAGCAACATTTCTTCAGTTCAAAACATTTCCTTATATCATTGCTTACATTTTTCTATCCAGAACAAAATTTTCATACAGCTTCTAGAATAGCCTTTTGTATGCCACTTATAAAAACCCTTTCTAGACCCAGATAAATGCAGTCACCCAAACTATTTCTTTCCCTGAAAGGTCTCTTGTGGGTTTATCACAAAAATGTAATAAATTTGTTACACAGAACCTTCCAGC